ATATTCGAGAGACTTGTCATTTGCACCCTTCTGTCAGGTATGAAACAGTAAAAGTATGTTACAAAAAACCTGACATTTTTAAGAAGAAAACATCATTAGAGTGTAGATTTTAGGGCATTTCCCCAGGGCATTTCCCTGTAGGTCAGTACATTAATAAAGCCAGATTAGCATAATTATACTTGGGAAATGTTGCTAGCCCATTTAAACCTCATGTTTGTTTTTCTGACAAATTCGAGAAATATTCTTGTATTTAAGAATACTTGACTTTATACGCTCCTTCAACTGCCAGTTTTCTAAGAGAGAATTTAGAGTCCTATTTGCTCTTTCTCTGTAGAAGAATAAATTGTGGTGCTAATTTGTCCAAAATCTTGACTAACAACCTGTAAAATAGTAAATTAGCGTTTAGAGATGGTCTGAAAAGGAGACGACGAGTTTTGATCGTTTCCAGGGTCTAAAATGCCATGGTTTGTTTTTTGGGGGATTTTTTGGTTTGTTGTTGAGGTTTGGGGAGATGATTGGAAAGGAGGGGTACAAGAGGCCCATGACTGAATTGTTAATGGTAGGCGCCGAGGGAAAACCATTGTGGCTTTTAGGAGGGGCTGGTGGGGGGACATGTTAGAATACTCCTCTGTCCACAGCAGAACAGTAGTCCCGTTTGTTTCATGGACTCTCTTCTGGGTGCGAGAAATCGTGACAACAGGTGTTTGGCCCTGACGATGAGTCATATAAAGAGGGGACAGTAAGAAATAACATTCCAGAAGAATATTTGCATTTTGATACCGCTTGGAGACTTTCCAGCTGCTCTCACTACCGTTCCTTTCTTGGATTGTCCGGTGTGGACAGCAGAGCAGACCTCCGTCCACTGGGTTTTACAGCTGTGAAACTGACCAGAGACCACGAGGGTCTTGTTTGACCGGAAGCAGCTGGGGAGTGGCAGAATAGGGACTCAAGTCCAAGTGCTCTGACAGTTCTGGGAGGACTTTGAGGGAGTCAGACAGATTTTGAGAGTTGAGTAGGTGTGGTGGCGGGTGTTCAGTAGAAATAAGGCTCATGGGATGGTGATGGCCACAGCTGCCCATGGTGACATGACTCTGTGAGGGGCCTCGGGTTCCGATCTGGTAAAGGGATCACCAGAAAACTCTCCTGGGGCTGATGAACCTGTACTTATGCTTCCTTCAGATCAATTAATGAAAAGCTGAAGGAAAATCAAGCTCATGATCTCCTGGGAGTAGACAGATGCCTGATTCAGCCCACACATCTGCATATGAAATGGTCATTTCATCCAGATGGAACCCTTTAAATAGGGAAGGAAACAATTGTTTCCTTCCAAAGTGAAACTGACATATTATCACCTTCATTGCTACTCCAGTTGGCCCTACTCCAGTTGGCCCAACTCCAAAAAGAGAAGGTGTGAATGTAGGTAGTCTTCTGGCCTAACCTGTCCATTGTATAGGCCAGTGCTTTAAGATGGAATTATCTTGAGGTGGGGGGAGGGAGCAGTAGGCAGAGTGCAGAGGAGTTTTAGGATGGTGAAGTTACTCTGTATGCTAGCGTGATGATGGATGCATGTGGCTGTGCATTTGTCCAAACCCATTGATTGTACAGCAGCAAGACTGAGCCCCAAGAGAAACTGTGGGCTCTCTGTGATGACGCTGTGTCACCGTGGGTCCAGCAGTCATAATAGATGCCCCACAGTGGAGGGGGTGGTCATGAGGGGGGAGGCTGAGGTAGGAGGTATATGGGAACTCTCTGTACCTTCTGCTCCATTTTGCTGTGAATCTAGAACTGCTCTAAAAAAACAAAATCTTCCAAAACTGTAGTTCTCGTGATAGCTGACAGGTAAATACCCATTTTTCCCCCCTCTATTTCAGGAGCCATTTTAATATGATTAATAGCAATTATCAGCCTTTGAGTGGAAAAAAAATCTTTTCCATAGAAATGTTTTACAGGTATATGGGCACAGGTGGGAGTAGGCCTCTGTACCCCTGAGGGTGTGTTCAGCCTAGCATGCTCAATAACTAATGACATCTGGCCAAAACAAAAGCCACATTTAGTGTTCATTCAAGCCACAAATATTTTTTGAATTCCCGCTGTGAGCCGACCTCTGCTAGGCTTTAAATATGGGATTAAACAGAGCAAATGGAACCTAGCTCCAAGACCATCACATTTTTGTTGCTTTTCATGCTTTTAAGTGGTTGAATAAAATAAGAAGTTTGAGCCAGTAGAACATCACAGTTTTGTGTATTTTATTTGAAATTTTGGTACTTCTTCCCATGTGATGTGGTGAGTAATAAGTCAGTGAGGCACCAAACCTAGTAACTGGGGTTTTTGTTAAAGATTAAGCGATGGATTTGATTCTGCCAAGTGGAATTCATTTACTCTCTCATTCACTCATGCATTCTTTAGTACTTGTATAAAACACTTTTCAGACACCTCTTTTGTGCGGGGCACATTTTTAGGTGCTGAGGAACATCAGGGAACAATGTAGACCACAATTCCCACCGTGGAATCTAGTTCCTAGAAGGGAAGAATGACGATATTAGCAATATAAGTAAATAAAATATATGCTAAGGGAAAAAATAAAGCAGGGAAGGGTGAAGTAAGGTTTAAATGAGGGGATCATTGATATTTTACTTAAGGTGGCTTGTGCAGGCTTCTCTGAGTTAGGCAGCTTTTGAATAAAGACCTGAAGTCCATGAGTAAGCCAGCCAAATGGATAGTTGAGGAAAGACCATTCCGGGCAGCAGGGACAGCTTGTGCAAAGGTCCTGAGTCAGGAGTATGCTTGTCATGGAGCTCGGAGGCCAATGTGACTGGAGCTGGGTGAATAGCAGGGTATAATTGCCAGTGAAGGTCAAGAGATGTGACGTGGGGGTCATATCCTACAGGACCATGTGGACCATAATAAGGACTTTGGGTCTCACTATGAGTGAGAGACTGAGTACCACCTGAGGATTTGAAGCAGAAGAGTAATACTTGTTTTCTAGGGTCGCTCTGCTGCTATTTGGGGAACAGAGTATAGGAGGCTGGACAGATCAGGGAGACCCGTTGGTAGACCATTAATGTGGTCTTCAGAGAGATTTCCATGGCTTAGACCACAAGAGTAGAGCAGGGATGGTGAGAATCAGATAGATTCTGGACATCCTTTAGTGGTAGAACCAACAGGATTTAATGATGGATTAGACATAGGTGAAAGCAAGGAACCAAGAAGAGAGAGCATGACTGTAGGGTTTTCAGTGTGAACCACAGTGAGATGGAGGTGCCACAGACTAAGAGGGGACAAATCCAGAGAAGGAGGTTGGGAGGTGGTGAAGGAGACCCAGGAGCTCTCCTGGAGACGTGGTAAGTTTAGATGCCTGGGGGGAATGGGCAGCCAAGTGAAGACACTGAAACGATGGTTGGATGTGTGGGTCTGGGCAGTGCAGCATCACAGGTCAGAAAGAGGAGGGATTGATTGAGAAGCTGGGAAGGCGATCAGTGAGGTCATGGGAAAGCCAGGTGACCACCATGACCCAGAGGCCAAGCAATCAGTAATGGAAACATTGAGACCTGTGGGTGGTTCAGTTGATTAAGCATCTGCCTTCCGCTCGGGTCATGATCCCAGGGTCCTTTGACTGAGCCCCTCTTTGGGCTGCTCAGTGGGCACCCTGCTTCTCCCTCTGCCTGCTGCTCCCCCTGCTTATGCACGCTCTCTCTTTCTGACAAATAAATAAAACCTTACAAAGAAAATAATGGAGACATTGAGAGGAGGCATGCATGAGCGGCATCAGATGCCACCAGTGGGTCAGCAGGTGAAGGCCGAGACCGCCATGAAGATTTAGCAAGGGCAAGGTCCTGGCTTGGTGGGGCTAAAAGCCCAGTCTTAGTTAGATTCCAAAGCAAATGAGAGTGTCCTTTGGGAGGTGGGTTAGTAAATAAGCTGTGGTCCATCCAGAATGAAGTATTACTCACCACTAAAGAGAAACGCTCTGCAAAGCCTTGGAGAGACTTGGAGGTGCCTGTTGCTAAGGGAAGCAAGGCAGGCTGGAGGCAGCGTACTAGATAGGATTGCAACTGTAACGTCCTGGAAAAAGCAAAACTTACGGGGACAGTAAAAAACACAGTTACCAGGGGTGGGGTGTGGTGGGGTGTGAGTGAGCGGAGCACAGAAGAGTTTTAGGGCAGTGAAACCAATCTTCGTGGCACTCCCATGGTGCATACATGTCATTATCCATTTGTCTAAACCCGCAGACCATAGGGCACCAAGAATGAAGCCCGGTGTTAACTACGGACACTCTGGGTGAGGATCGTGTGTCCATGTGGGTTCATCCACTGTCACAGATGTACCCCGGGAGCGCTCCTGGCGGGGGTGGCTGTGTCTGTGTGGGCAGGTAGTGTATGGGAACTCTGTGTACCTTCTGATCAATTTTGCTGTGAAACAAAAACGGATCTAAAAAATTAAGTCTATTTAAAAAAAAGAGAGAGAGAGAGAGAGAGGTGATGAACTGAAGGCAGGAGGTCGGTACTGGTTTCTAAGGAACAGAAAAATCGGTGGCATCTGGGAGGGAAGTGGCCGACGGGAGAAGGACCGTTGTGTTTATATGAGACAGGAGAGTTAACAACGTTTATGGAAATCATGCTGACGTGCTGGCTTGGGTCCTGGGCTGGGTGAGTGGGTCTGGGGCCTCATGCTCCCGGGGAGAGCTGGCATCAGAAACCCCAGAGAAAGGCTGGGGTCTTTGTCACAGGTACAGGGATGGGCCAGTGCGTTCTTGTGCGAGCTTTTGTGTGTGGGTTTGTTTTCTCGGTGGGAGGACAACATAAGGAGACGTGGATACAAAAGGCGTTTGAAAATGCACCGAACTACCTCACCAGTTTTTCTGCCCATCTCTCAGTGTTCACCATCATTGCTTCCAAGCTGGCCTCTGAGCTCTTTCAAATCAAGGTTTCCATTTTGCGGCACGTGTTCCTCTTTCTTTAAACACAGAATAACCGCGCTTTCGAGTGGGATCTTCCTGATGGTGGCGTGTTTCCCAGGGCCTGGCCAGTGATGAGATTTTCATCGGTATGAAACCTACACCATGGGAATTCTTTTTTTTTTTTTTTAGAATGTCATGTCTTTTTTGGGAGCCTCTGGATTAAAAGTAAATGCAATTCAGTCATTTGAGGTGCAAGAAATTCATCTTATATTTCAGATGGTTCTATTTATTGGGCAGATTAGACTCAACATTTAAGGCTCTTAAGAGCAGGGGCTGTAGAGTCTCAACATGTGTGGGGAAGGGGAGAGAGAGGTAGTGTGAGTGCCAAGTATGATATTTTATATTTATCATGCAAATTCCAGAAATTAGTGCTTGATGGAATGTTCAGGAAAACAAAATCGTAAAGGGTTATCTGCCCTCCCCTAACCAGAGAAGCCAGACTCTCTCCCATGATGGGTTTACTTTTTCCTTGGGTTGTTTATCTAAAGGGAGTACTGCTTTTCAAAGCTAGTATAGTACTGGTTTGGATATCCACCGCTGTTAGCTGACACGTCTTATGTAGTAGAACAAAGCCCATGGTGTGTCTGATTGACGTGCTTGAAGGGGGGGGACCCTGTGTGCCTCCACTGCCTCCTGACTCTGCAGCGTGCCTGCCCTAAGCAAGAGGGTTCACAACTGCTGTTTCCTGATGTCACACAAAGCTGTGGGTTAGGAGAAGAGAAAAAGTGACTCTGTTCTCTCTCTGGTATGTGTGTGTTTGATGATCAATTTCAAAAAAACAAAAGAAAAGAAGGGACCAGCTCTAGAAACGAAGGTTCAGCACACGCGAGAATGCTTCCTGTTACTTAGATGGGACCAAAGCCCTGTGGGATACGCTGTTGTGCAGCAGCTCTGTGACGATTCCGGAGCCTGCTGGCCCCTGAGCCTCCTCCAGTGAGGGTCTCCTGACGGTCCCTTCTGGCCAGCTGCCCGATGGCACAGGTGCGGGGCGGGGGGACCCAGCTGGGGCAGCACCCAGTGGGATGCATACTCCAGCTCTGCAGCCACGGGCTTGATGACTAAGTCGAGCCATGCTCGGTAGCGTTGTATGCCAGAGAGAGATATTTTTGGAAAGGGAGGGATTCACATGACTCCTCCAAGCAGCTTGTGCTGCCTACGTTTGGCTCGATGGGGGTGCATGTGTATCCACAGAAGGGGCCGTAGGTTTTTCCCGCTACCCCAGGGTAACGGCCCGCAGAACAAACGATGCCACTCACTGTTTGGGAAAGGACACCGTAAGCCCGGTGATAATTAGTTTCCTCGGACCAGAAGGCTTCAGAAGCCTTCTCCCCTCAGTTTTGCACCCACGTGTGTATCGCGCATGACGTTGGCTCCACTACTGGGCTCAAGTCTTGAGGCACCAAGAGAAGAGGCAAATATACAGGATTTGAGTTGAATATGCAGGATTAGCATTTTGCATTCATGGGACCCTGAATCTGGACCAGAGCAAAGAGTGGGCTGACCCTCCTCTTCCTCTCTTCTGTAGAGTGTTTTTTTTTGGTTTTTTTTTTTTTTTGCATTTTTTTAAGATGCTCTCTTCCTGTTTCCACATCTTTATTTTTCATAAGATAAGAGGAGCGTGGCTCTGGTCCTGTTTCTTTGAAGAACCTGCAGCATGTGAAGAATCCAGAAGCCTTTGGTGCCTCATGGGTGTGGCCTAGAGACCTGAACATCACAGCGAACACAGTCAAACTCTACTCCTGCTTTTTGGGCTTAGATACGGTTTCGTGTTGCCTAGTGGGACCATCAAACTTCCTGCTCACTTATCTGCCAAGAATCTTTAAAGTTAGAAGAATCTAACGTCTGACAAAGCACTGAACATTCTCTGTGTGTTTGGGTCGAATACCTGATCTTCCTCCCCAGGGAATCCGTAGAGGGGTCTCCGTGCTTTTTAAGCTGTCCAGTTTTTAAAAAACAGCAGGCTATTGGTCATCCCGTGAATCTTACACTGTGGTTTGTTCGCATGTTAGCTTGGTTTCAGTTTGGATTTTCACGTTGTACTCCTGGATTTTATCCTGAAAACTCCTTTCTGCAAAGCGGTACTGAATGCTGATTCCGTCCTACACGTGGTCCAGGTTGGAATGTACCTGATCAAGGGCCTCAGCGGGGCTCTTCCTGCCTCATTCTTACTTTATGCCATTGCTAACCTGGGGTTCTGGGGATGGATGGAAAAGAGAGATTACAAATTAAGCATATGTTGGGGGTCACTGCCATTACTTCAATGTTCTCATTTTTCCAGTGAGGCTCTGCAAAGGGGACCTCGCACATGTATCCAAAGAGAGAGCTGAGTTGCAAATTCTCGTCTCCAAACAGAAAGACTGTAATCCCCCGAGTGTGTGGGAAGAAGCAGTGAGAGAAAGCCATATGATACTTGTTTGAGGCGTTAAACATTTTTGGTAACATTTAAGTAAATTGGAAACTAGTTCTTTGATAAAATATAACTTTTTTTTTTTTCTTTTTTTGGCACCACGGGTAGATTCTACAAGGCCTGGAAACACTTATAAGAAATCGCAATGGCAGGATATCCGTGTGGGCTTAACTCAGACCTATTTATTGTAGGCTGATCAGGTAAAGAATAATGGCATAATGGGCCTTCTTGTTGCTGAACTGTCTTAGGGACCTTTGGGAAGCCCAGCCTTGCTTTTGACCTAGTGATTAGCCTGAATTCAACAGACTCATCATATTGCTAATTTCATCTCCATTGAAAGAGAAAACAGACAGGGAAGTCATTAATTATAGCTACATGTTAGTGATAAAATGAATTGGCCTCAACAGTTAGGTTCTGTTCACGTGAACTAATTTCCCCATGCTGGAAATCCGGTTACATTTTACATATGTATTTTCCAAAGGAGGTGGTTTTCTGGGAAAATGTTGAAAATAAAGGTCAGGTCTGTCTTGTGTCTGCTGGTAACAGCCTTTTAGGACTGCTTTTCTTCTGAGCAGTGCCCCCATCCTCTCGTCACTGTGTGAGCTTGCCACCTGCAAGGCTCTGTGCTGGGTTCCAGAGTTAGAGAAATAAGCAAAGAGCGCCAGGGGTCAAGTGTATCTTAAAGACATATGTAAACTGATCATGATGATACAAGTCACTGTGTCAGTTAAGGTTGCTTTCAGCTCTGGCCAACCAAAGTTCCAGTTTGTAGTGGCTTACATTGATGGGGGTACAGTTTTCCTCTGGCTATAAGGTCTGGCTGTGAGCAGTTGCTGGAGTTGGTCTAACTGCTCAGCCTGGATGGTCCTTTCATCCCAGGGGGCTTTCACACTCCTGCCGTGCCCCGAGAGTCCCAGGATGGGCACTCAGCTCCAGATAATGCTGTCTGAAACAAAGGCAGGAAGAAACAAAGCTTTCCTTGGACCAGCTTCCCTCTAGTGGATTCCCACTCATAGCTCCTTAGCCGGGTCTCTGTAAGACAGTCAGCTCCCAGCTTCTGGGGCAGCAAGGAAGGGAAGCATGCAGCTTCTGGGTCTGGGGGTGTCACCTGCTATGGAAGCCCATCCAGAGACCTATGGCTGAGGGGCAAGAGATGGCAGTGGGGGGGGATGGGCAGAGTAGGAAGAAAGCGAGCAGGAACTCTTTGTACAGGGTCATGATAAAGGCTTCATCTAAGCCTCACGGGGGTGATAGAGAAGAAAGAATAAATTGGGGAAATTCTTCCAAAGTCAGTGGCTCTTGGTGTTCGCTCGAATGTTAGGGGGGAGACCCAAAGAGTTGGAGGTTTCTCCTAGGCAGCTGGTGGGTGGACAGTGGAGCTGTTCTCTAACCTAGAGAATGCAGGTGCGGCAGCTGCCCCGTCTGTCTGGGTGCTGGGTTAGAGGTAGCTGTGGTCCGTCCAGGGGGGCGGGAATGGAGGGCTGGGTTTGATGAGAGAGGTGGGGGCTTGGAGTACGCATGGATCGGGGACTTCGGGTTTGGGGGCGGGGGGGTGCATGTAAGTATTATTTGAAATTTAACGGCTTGTTGGGAGTTCTGGGGTTGGAGAACGGCCCCCTCGCTGCATGCTGACTGGAAATCATGTCTCTATGAATTCAGTTCTACTTTTCCTTCTATGGTGCACCGTTTTCTCTGATGAGTTCCTATTTTTAGCGCTTTTCCAAGAGTGAGTTCCCTTGAACCACTGCCCTTCCTCCCTTGCTAGGCTTCGTTTTCCTGGTCCACAGTCCCCAGAGAGCTATGCTGCATTTCACATTTCTTTCCAATTAAACTCACCATCTCAGGGGGTTTTATGATGCTCCCCAAGCAGAAAGCCTCCTGATTCACACGGCCAACAAATTCGTAGTAAGGGCACCCTACCGGCAAGGCAGCTCTTCTAGGCGCGTAAGCATATAGCAGTGAACGAGATGAACAAGGGCCCTTTCTCCATTTTGGCCGGGGAAGCAGTCAGCACAAAACTGAGTAAGATGATGTTCGGAAACTGCAGTAGGGTGGTGGGCATCCGTGACTGCCAGGGGCTGGAGCTGCTTCGGAGAGAGCGACCTGGGAGTCTGCTCTTGAGGTAGTGATACTGGGTCTGAGACCAGAATGAGGAGGAGGTACCAGTCCTGGAAGTCTGGGGTGGAACAGCACGTGCAAAAAGGCCCTGGGGTTGGAGGTTGGACTTTCTGAAGAGTGCACACAAGGCTGGTGTCTCTACAGGGCAGTATGTGAGGGAGATAGTAGGGGGAAAATTTGGTCACAGAATTTAGTCAAGAGCCAAATCCTATAGAGCCTTAGAAAACATAGCAAGGAATTTAAGTTCACATTCTCTTTCTAGCACTTGCAATGAAAAGTTGTTGGAGCAATTTGATCTAATTTGATCTAATAATTTTCATTGTTAAAAAATACAGTGTTGGGGCACCTGGGTGGCACAGTGGATTAAAGCCTCTGCCTTTGGCTCAGGTCATGATCTCAGGGTCCTGGGATCGAACCCCGCATCAGGCTCTCTGCTCAGCAGGAAGCTTGTTTCCCTTCCTCTCTCTCTGCCTGCTTCTCGGCCTACTTGTGATCTCTGTCTCTCTGTCAAATAAATAAATAAAAACTAAAAATAAATAAATAAATGTTTAAAAAAAAATA